CCCGCCCCCAAGGCCCGCTCCCCCGCCGCCCTCGGGGGTTTCGCTGCCCTTGGTGCTCGCCGGGCTCGGCGCTGCCTGTCTTGCGTGGGCAAAAGAAGGAGGGAGGGGGCAGCTGTTAAAACTGCTTTTCCCCTTTTCTGTAGTGGACCACAAATACGCAGGTCGGGACAGCTTGATTTTCTTAGTTGATGCTTCCAAGGCCATGTTTGAGTCATACGAGGATGAGGAAGCGTTCACTCCCTTTGACATGACCATGCAGGTAAGCTCGGTTAGGCAGTTGAGCATCTGTGACCTATACTTTTCAGGGCCTGAAGGTGTTTTACAAACCCTCTACGGATTTTTGTATCTGCAGTGCTACAGATACAGCTGGCTGGCCGTCTATCTTTCTGCCACACCTTTTGGTGTAAAATCACTGTGAAACCTAAGCGGCGGATTTCTGAATGACTGTGGGTTTGGAAAGAGCCGCCGGATGCTGGGCTGTGTCCAGACTTTGGTGGTGGGAACTTGTACAGAATGAGTGATAAATCCACATCCAGGGCAGCATGTCTAAGAAATATTTGCTTTCCTGATCTTGCTAATAGAAAGGGAATGATAATGAAAAATACATAGCATTGTGTACTGAGGAAAAGTCCTATTGAAAAAAAAGGAACCCAAATTCTTTCTCCTGGTGAAATACAGCTTAAAGCAATTGTTATAGTTCTTGATATTGCTTGTATAAGCTGTTAATTGCCAAAGACAAAGCTTCTGCACCGTTTTGGAACCCATTTTCCCCATAGTTTGACCTATGTGTGTTCTTTCCAGTGCATCCGGAATGTGTATACCAGCAAAATTATTAGTAGCGATAGGGACCTGCTAAGTGTCGTGTTCTATGGCACAGAAAAGAACAAGAATTCTGCGGACTTCAAGCATGTGTATGTTCTTCAGGAGTTGGACAATCCAGGTAAAAGGCGGTGAAGTAATTCAAAGGTTTATGTAGAAGATGGGGAAAGGAAATCTGTGCAATAGCCTTGTCAGTGGATGGCCTCTCTGAAAAGAGAGAGAACTGTTAGAAAAACTAAAATGTTCCTGTTTCTGGGATCTGTGCGTGAATGTGTTTTTTCTTTCCTCTGACAGAGTTAGAAACTTAGTGGGAGCTTAGTCTTTTCTGTTGCAGTTGGTTTAGATCTCTTTCCTGTGTCGTCTTCTGTTCTAATACGGTGATTCACCTGCTGTCTGTTAAAGCTAAGAGGATTTCAATAGAACTCTGGAAAGCCTATCAGGTCTCTGCTGCACTTCTGAGCAATGTACATACATGCTAAGGCACCACAGAATCCTACTGAAAGCAAACATGCTACCTGTTTAGGGTGTTCTGTCTGTTACTTTCATAGTAAGTTTTGTGATTCTTGAGTTTAGCTCCTCCTTTTTCTTAGGATTACCTATCACGTGTGTGTTACGAGAGTGCAAATAGCTGAACTGCAAAAGGTAATAGTAGTAGGAGGAGTTCAAACAGAGCGTGCTAGGAGTGACAACTTCCCCGTCAGCTGAGAGTATTGTGGGGTAGTTCTGTCTACTAGCTTTAATAGCTGCCTGTATCTCTGAGGTTTTATTTAATTCTCTTAGCTTGGAGGTACAGGTTAGTGTTCTTGTTATCATGCTTTAACAAGGCATGGGGTTCTCCTGTGAGAAGTATACCTCGTCCTAGCTTCAAAATTACTTACAACTGAGACCTGATGAGACTGCCCTAGGCTCTTCTTTCTTCTCTGCCAGCAAGCACCTTAGGCTTCTCTCTTGTCCTTCCTCCCTCTCCTTCTCTGCTTGCCCTTTTCCTTGCGTTAGAGGCAGTAGTTTTGCCAAGCTGATAAAGACGCTGCAGGTGAAAGGTGGGTGCTGTTAAAAAGGAAGAGAATGGTATATTTATTGCCACAGAGTTTTAAAAAGGCCATTGATACCTGCCCATCGAGTGATTTATGGTTTGAATCTGGCCTTTAGGCTGTTGCCATTTGACTTGTGGGGTAAGGGAGCAGGAGGAGTTCACCTTCCCAACATGCCGTGGAGATGCAGAATGTATTTCAGCCTCTGCTCCTTTCTCTGGCGGCAAAGCAGTCTCCCATTCCTCTGGAGCGAGTGGAATCGCTGCCTTTCTGGGGGACAACCTGTAGTTTCAGCACAGAGAGCTTGTGATGCTTTGTTCCCTGCCCGTTTCCCTCCCCAATAGAAAGTGCCCTGTATTGGTGCCAGGGCGTTTTAAATCCTTTTGGCTTTAGTAGGTGCTTTCATCTGGCAACTAGCTTGCAATATTGAAAATGTAAAGCTATCCTGAATAATTTTCTCAGCCAAATGTTGGAAGGGTACTGCTACAGAGATGCTAGGAGAGGTTAGTCAGGCATCAGTTGCGAGGGACTGTCAGTGCTTGTTTGGAAGGGTTTGCAGTAATTCTTTTAGTATTTCTAATGTATTCAAATGCTGTTATTCTCTTCAGGTGCAAAGCGTATTCTAGAACTGGACAAATACAGAGGAGACCAAGGACAAATACTTTTCCGGGAGACCTTTGGCCACAATGCTGACTATTCACTGGGTGAAGCACTCTGGGCCTGCTCTAATCTCTTCAGTGATGTTCGAGTGAGAATGAGCCACAAAAGGATCATGCTGTTCACCAATGAGGATAACCCTCATGCCAATGACAGCGCTAAAGCCAAGCTGGCCAGGACCAGAGCTGGTGATCTTAGAGACACAGGTCATTATTTTCCCCTTTAATTTAGGCCTGGAATTTAAGGCTGAATAAAAGTGATGTATCCTTGCAGCAGATGTTAACTGCGCTGCAGTGTCTTAATGGAAAAAGAGTGTGAAATGATCAGAACTGAGTAATCTTTCTGAAGCTTTCTAAATTAGAAAAATCTGACATCCAGTCTGGTATGCAACGGCTAACTTCTAATTTTTAAGGCCTTTTTTCCTACTTCCACAGCATAAATCAGGATTTGTGAGGGCCATGGAAAACAAACTCTACTTTACTTCGTTGTCCCACCCTTTTCCAGGAGGGGAATAATAACACTAAATCAACACAAAAGGAAGATTATTTTAGTGGCTGCATTTTGAATGAGCTGAAGAACAGCAACTCGAGCTCAGAAATTAGAGAGGAAATGCTTCGTTTCTTAAAATATGCAGTTGAGACAACCAGTGTTTTTGGAGTTCAGATGCGCTAGATCCAGAAACTGTGAGGCATCCTTAATCTGCTAGCTCATATAACATGGAAAGGGCAATTTCTGAACCGTCTTTGTTTCCCTCTATGCCAGAGGTGAGACTACATCTTATAGGAGCTTGTCAGAGCTGTTTCATACACAATATTTCCCAGCTTCTTAATTAGGGAGGGAACTTCTTCTGTGCTTTGTTGTTTTGGCTGAAGGTGAAGAAGGTCTTTTGCCCATTTCTCTGAGAAACTATCACATCCAGTGCAGATGACAGTTTGGAGCTTACTCTTGCTCCAATTCTTTGTATAGATAGAGAAATCTGAGGGTGCTGAGGAACACGCTTATATCTATCTTTTACTTTGTCTTTAGGTATCATCCTGGACTTGATGCACTTGAAGAAGTCTGGAGGGTTTGATATCTCCTTGTTCTACAGGGACATCATTAACGAAGCAGAGGATGAGGATCTTGGGATCCAACCTCATGAGTCAGGAAAACTGGAACATCTCCTGAAGAAAGTACGAGCAAAGGAGACAAGGAAACGGGCTTTAGTCAGGTGTGTGCCTAGGTCTGGCACTTATTCCGTGTAGGCACCTGATGTTATTTTTAGGCTGCATCTCACCTTCCTCTTCTGGAAGGATTGTTTTGTAAAGGCATCAATGCTTTCATTCCTCAGTCTTAATTGGGGGGACTGCAGTGGAGAGTAAAGCTAGGCCTCTTTTTCTCCCACAGTATGAAATCTCCTGTATTGAGCTTAGCCAGAAATCATTCTGAAGAAAAGTCAGCGTCACCAAAGTAAAACATCTACCAAAAATCTAAGCTCGTAATAGCAAATGTTTAGTTTATAGCAAAGTCTGATTGAAGTGAGACTTTATTTACCAATGTTAACTTAGGGAAAAAAAACATTCTAGTGTGGCTGATAGGTGTTTTGACCTATTAACTAGTCATATGTGGCCAGTCTGTCTAGGCATTTGGTATTGTGCCAATTGATTCATACATCTGATCTCCAACTGAAAGATTAGAGATACTCAGGGAGAGGTTAAAGGGATCTTGACAGAGAGGACAGAAAATTTTCTTTGGAACCACCTACTTGATATCGATTTGTTTTTTAACAGGCAAGTTCATAGCAGAATGATTTGGATGCACAGTAAGTGAATGAACTTCACAGCCCAGTGTTTTTTTTTCTTAATATATATTAAAAAATCCCACCTTGGGCTGTTGTCATTGGTGTTCTTGCTGCTCCTTGCAACTTTATTTCCCTCTTCTGGGAAGTTTTTTCTCAAGTTTTCTAATTCTTGAGGAGGGAGAATCCTGCATCAGTAATATCTTTTAGAAGAGAGGAAATAACATTCACATTAATTCACTGTTCTGCCCTCAGAACTTCAAGATTACCTTCAATTTTAAACTTTGTTTTTCTTCTGAATTTTTCTGTAACTTCTGAAACTTCTGGGTTTTTGTTCATGGTATTGTTTGTCTGGATGGGACGCTTTTGGGGGAATTTTGCCCTCTGCTTGAACAGCCATGTGAATTCAGAGGCCACATTTGCATTAAGCATAAGTGGGTACATAACTGTGGACTTGTCCTGTGCTCTGCCAGAGGATAACTGCTCTTCACTGTAAAAAAGGATGGAAAATATAGGGTAAATCATTTCTGTTTAAGTATTTTGTTATGACCAGGACTGACAGCATTGCAAGAATGCTTTTTTATGAGTGAGATTATGAAGCAAATAATAGTACCTTTTCAGAGATACGTGTGGATTTGGGGAGCAGAATAGGAGGTCTGAGGAAAGGAAGTTACTTGGGGAAATGACTTTCTTTTGAAAAATTATCTTTCAGAGCCTCGAGTCTGCATCTGCTTTTTTTTTTTTTTTGCACAGGTTAAATCTGTATCTGAGCAAAGATCTCTCTCTTACCGTTGGTGTGTACAGCCTCCTTCAAAAAGCTCATAAACCATATCCAGTGAAGCTTTATCGGGAAACTAATGAGCCAATTAAAACAAAAACAAGAATGTTTAATGGGAAAACAGGCAGCTTGCTTCTGCCTAGTGATACAAAAAGGGCTCAGGTAATGTATTCATTATGTCTCTGTTTTTCCTGTCACTGTGATTTTGGTGGAGGGTGGGGGGAGGGAAGGGAATGCTGAGCATCTTACTGCTTTTCTTGTGTTTCACTTTCATGATCAATTACAGAAATATGTGCCTCCATATGCCTCTGGGATAGTTTGGTCACTTTTTAAACTAAGCAGGAGAGTGGGTGGTTTCTTGGGTGAGGGAAAACACCTCACCCAAGGGAAAACATAGCTGCTAGTGGACGTGTGCTTGGGAACTCACGTCACATTCTTTCTGTATGGCAGAAGCAGGTTGTCAGAACCTGATCTTATGTGGCCTTGTGCTATTGGTGCTGGTGAGATCTTTGAATTACTAGAAACAGATTTTGACCATTTTATTACTACTATTGTAATCTTTACTGTTTGCTCTAGGGGTACAAGTGTGAATCACGGAGGTTTTCTTGGGTTCTTTTCCAAACCAGAATAAAAGGCATATTAGCTCTATTTTTGTTATTTTGTTCCTTGCTTTCCCTTCTTGCTTGGGAGTTTGGCCGATACAGATTGATTGCTCGTCACACTCTGTTCAGGCACAGCCTTATTTCAAAGCAGGTTATGCAGTTGCTAGGTATATGGTCACAAACACGCTTTACATGTCCTTCCATGCCAAAGTCTCTTAAAGTTGTCCTCTTAAGATGTGATGTTAGGCTTATTTGTACTGGACACTAGTTTCTTAGAATAAAGTACAGAGGATGAGCAGAAAGGTGAATGTTCAGCCCCTACTCGTCTAACTTCTGTAACCAGACTACAGTATGTTTTCATTTATTATGTGACATATGAGTGATGCTTCAATAGCTTGAGTTGTTAATCACTGTTTCTGCCAGGAGCAGAGGTAGCTGACATGCTTCTGCTGAAGCATGGTTAGGAGACACAGACAGGTTGGGTGAGACCTCTGGAGATATCTGGTCCAACCTTAGCTCAGAGCAAGTCTCACCTCTAAACTAAATCAGGTTGCTCAGGGCCTATTCTGGCCAGCTCTGAGTAACTCCAAGGATGGGATGCTGCAGCTTCTCTGCACCAAGGCTTAACCACTGTCTTAGGAAACACACAAGAGATGTTTTCCTCATGTCCAGTCCAAATTTCTCTAGAGAAAGTGGTCACAGATGGCAGCTTGTCCTTTCACTGTACACTAATGAGGAAAGTTTGGCTCTGTCTTCTTTATAACCCCCTCTAGGTAATGAAAGACAGCACTTACGTTCCCCCCCAACCCTTGACTTGTTCTTCTCCTGGCTAAACAAGCTCAGCTCCCTCAGCGTCTCCAGATGCATTGTGTGCTTCAGCCCTCCAGCCATCTGAGTGACCCTGCTGTGGACTTGCTCCAGTTTGTCAATGCCCACTCTGTACTAGGGGGACAAAAATGGACACAGCACTCCTCGTGCAACCTCATGAGCGTCATGCAGAGGGGAATAATCACTTCCCTGGACCTAGGGACTATACTCTTACCAATGCAGCCCAGTGCGTGGTAGCCCTCATTGCTGCAAGGACACACTGCTGACTCCGGTTCAACTTGTCCATCAAGACCTCTAGGTGTTTTTCTGCAGAGCTGGTCCGTAGCCAATCAGTCCCCAGCTTGTACAGTTGCAGGGCTTTGTATTTGCCTTTGCTTCATGAGTTTCCTGACAGTCCGTTCCTCCAGCTTGTTGAGGTCCCTCTGAATGGTAGCCCTGTCCTGCAGCATAACAACTGCTTCTTCAGAGTTTAGTGTTGTCTGTGGAAAACTTGCTGAGGGTGCAGTTGGTTCTGTTGTTCAAGTTGTTTATGAAGATGGTAAGAAGCATTGGCCCCAGTACTGACCTCTGAGGAAACACCATTTAGAACTAGCTGCCAGTTAGACTCTGAATTGTGTATCGCCACTCTGTAAGCCTGATAGTCCAGCCAGTTTTATGCACACCAAATTGATCCTCCTCTGCTTTTGGCAGTAGCTCTTTCCAATTCCTCTACCCCCAAGCTTTGCTACTAGACGTGGAGATCTGGGAGGCCTGAGAGCAGATCTTGTCAGTAAAGTCCAAGGTCAAGAAGGCATTCAGTACCTCAGCCTTTTCTGTTTTCTTTATCACTAAATCACTAAGTTGCCTGTCTCGCTGGAGAGCTCCCACAGTTTTCCTGATCTTCTTTTTGCTGCTGATGCACCTTTAGAAATCCTTTTTGTTGCCTTCACATTCCTTGGCAGTCATTTCCTCTTAGAGTTTCGCCAGGTGTGAGAAATGCTGTAAGAAATACTGTGGCCCTTTAATATTGTGAATTATTAAAAACTAGTGCAGTGTGTTCTGAAAAAAAATAGAGGATGAATAGTTGAAAATGAGCTGAAATGGCTATCTTTTTCCTTGCTTTTCTTGTCCTTCCACTATCTTTTAGTAGAATAGCATAATAATAATAAAATAATATAATAATATTATAATATATATATATATAATAATAAAATCTATTTTTGATCCGATTCGATCCCGATGCTCAGCATTACTGTCTACTTTTCCCTGCCACCCTCTAATTTAGATGTATGGAAACCGTCAGATTGTGCTGGAGAAAGAGGAAACAGAAGAATTAAAACGATTTGAATCCCCAGGCTTGGTTCTGATTGGCTTCAAACCACTTTCAATGCTAAAAGAGCACCATTATATCAGGCCTTCCCAGTTCATCTATCCTGAGGAGTTCCTAGTAAATGGTAAGCAAAGATGGGAACAGAAGATTCAGAAGATTCACCAAGCTTGTATTATGGTAACCAGCTAATTCATAGTGCAATCAAGTGGAGATCACTGAGATTCCATTTGACATCTTTGCCTAGCTTAAAAACTTGTTAATGTTTAAAAGCATAATTTTAACTGTTACTGCCCCTCCCAATGCAGTTAATTCTTGTTTTTTTTCAGTAGCAGAAGTGCTGATCCTGCTTCATGTTTCATCCATCATGACGGAGAGCTAATCAAACTAAACAGATGTGGCCCTGAAATACTTGGTTTAGTCATTCATAAACATAACTAGTTTTTAAAAGTGAAGGATCCTAGTACCCAATAAGAAGGCAAAGGTGGTAAAAATGTGGAGATAACTGCAATTTTTGAGTCCATATCAGCTAGGAGCAGAAATGCATCGCTAAGGAAGCGTGGTCGAATTAGCAGGGTCTTAATGGCTTGTTTTAATGACAGTGGTAGCAAAAAGGAGAAGATACTAAGGACTGCTTCTCCCTTTTTATGTGTATACACAAGCCTACTAATTCAGAAATATAGTTTTAATGCAAGCTGCACTATCAAGAAAAACCTTTAATCTCTAGTTATGATTAGATGCCTTGCATTGTCCGACTGAAGAAGCACCTTTACCCTGGCTTTTGCAGCTTAGCAATTTTCTGAATAAAACAATTATTCGTATGTGAGTCTTTTCCTGACCAACCTATCTGACCAAATTTAAAGCAAATATGCATAGGCCTGGAGGTAGGAATACTGAAGTCTGAATCCTTAGTGTGTTACTTCTGCAATAGGTCCTATGATGTGCTGCTGCTGCTACTATTGTGCTCCACCAGACCAGAGAGAGGCTTTGTACATATCCGTTTCCAGTTCTCAGCCTTATTTCATTTCTCAGACTCTGGTGATTTCGGTTCTTTCACCAGAACTCTCACTGATCTGATCAGCAGAGACTCGTTTTCAAAGGCTCCTTGTTCCCAAAGTTGCTTTTTACCTTTGGAACATTGTAAGCATTTCAAAAAAGTCACCAGCACTGAATCTGTAATACCTAGAGTTATGCTCCTGAAATCTGGGAGAGGAACAAAGCCCTTAATCTGACTAATACAGTCTTTACTTCGCAGGGAGCACAACACTTTTTAATGCTTTATTGATGAAGTGCTTGGAGAGAGAAGTGTTGGCACTGTGCAGATACACCCCTCGCCGGAACGTTCCCCCTCGCTTTGTGGCACTGGTTCCCCAGGAAGAAGAGCTCGATGAACAAAAAGTGCAGATAGCCCCTCCAGGTATGGCAAAAGAGGCTGCCTTTCCTTGTGTTCGTGGAAGCAGTCAGCAAAATAGGCTCCTATATTGCATGAAAATATCCTTTTTGCTGCCTTAAAAGCTGGGGAGAGTGCTTTCCAACATCCCCTTTCTTCAGTTTTCTCTCTGTAAGTATCTGATGTTGAAGAGGTCGCTGAGAGGTCCCTGGCTGTAGTGCCTACTTGAAATCTTTGAAGGCTAATGTGGAGTAAATACATCTAATTGGAAGAACGTGCGGTGATGTCTGCGGTGAAGCATTTGTGAGGCAAGGCTGGTGCTGGCAGTGTTGTGACACTGTACAGCTATCTTGATGCAGCTGAAAGAATGATAAAAGTAAATGCTTTACTATCTGTTTTTAAAGCCTCAGTTGCATCAGTGCTTGCTCAGGTATTACATGGCTACCATATTCTCCCCCCACCTTTTTTCAGGAAATTAAAGTGACTGACCTAAAAATGAAGAACTTTTTTTCAGTTGGCTGACTAGGCACTCACATCTTTCCCTGAATTTTATTGTGTGCTTGGATACTTTTTAAAGCATCAAATAAATAATTTCACATACTGAGCCTCATACCTTATCAGCTGAGTGGTGGATGATTAGGGAGCAAAGGTAGCTCTAGCACTTCTGTGTTTTCTCTCTTCTAGAACTGCAATATCCCCTGCTGGGAGAACGTGAAGTACAGGAATAACACTGCGTGTGTACAGCATAAGGCATTTCAGATATAACATATAGATTTTTATTTAATATTTAAACAAATTGTTTTCAAGCTCATTTCCAGTGACAGATAGGGAAGGTGGACAAGTTAAATTGATTTCCTGCATAAAAAGCAAGTCGCAAGTTTCCAACTCTTAACTATGCATTTAGTTTGAATCTCTTTCAAGAAGCCGTTAGTGAGGTTGGCTATTTACAATAGGATTGAGATTGAGTCTCATGTTGTAGGTACTAGAAGATAATGACTGGTTGGTGGTGTTTGCAACAAAATAGATGGCTAGTTTGGTAGTTATCAGACCTGCCTGATCAGCGTCTTGGCCTTTCCCATAAAATGTTCTGAGGCTGTGGCTCTCCATAACTGTTCTCTTGGCCTCTCTTTTCTGTGTAGGTTTCCACCTCATTTTCCTACCGTATGCAGATGACAAACGGAAAGTTGATTTTACAGAAAAGGTGCCAGCCAATCGAGAACAGATAGACAAAATGAAGGAAATCATTCAAAAACTCAGGTTCAAATACAGGTAAGTGGAGATAAATAGAGTAGCGGGGCGGGGGGGCAAGGAGGAGGTGACGGGAGAGAAGCACAACGCTGTTGCTTATTGTGTTAGACACGTTCTTCAACTCTGGTGATCACAAGATGAGATTTTGAAGCATTGGGTGGTTATATAGGCATAACTTGTAGTGTCATTGGGCTACTTCTTTATAATTACTTATCTAGTAAGCTCTCTGGTTTCCCTTAACACGTCCACAGTAAATGTTTTAGAAAGCCATAGTTAGAAATATGTTGACTGTGAAACTTATCAATAGCTTAGTTACCCATACTCTGCAGCCAAGCTAGGCACCTTAAAGGTTGTGATGATAGTTGCTGGCTGTAGGACTTTAGATTTGATCTTCTGGGCTTTGTTCCCCAGGATGGCCAAACCTCACTGTGCAAATGTTGCTGTTCTTGTTTAAATATTATACAATGTGTGAATTTTAAGCCTACATAAATTAGGGAGCCTTGCTTACTCCATTTCATAATGCAGTGTCTTGCATCTAGAAATTACACATAAGCATCTACTTGTAGGAGTCGACTATTCCTCAGATGTAGGAGAGCACCTTGTCTCCAGAACACAAATGGTTACTTGTGTGCATACAAAAAAGTTTATTGCCCTCGCCCTGAAGCCTCACTGCTGCAGGCAGTTGAATGCATTTAATGAGGAACCTGTCAAGAGATGATGATTTGCATGAACAAATTGCTTCCCTTTGCAATAGCCTTGTCTAAACATTCTTAATCGTTCTGAAATATCCATGCATCACATGCTTAATACAGGGTGTTCTGGAGTTCTTTATGCCATTAGTCTTGTTCTTCGGACTGTTGTAATTTTTTTGCAAATTGGCACATTCATTGTGGTTATGAGAATCCGTACCCAATCTATTGCAGATCAGACCTGGATCTTTTAAGTTATGGTTCAACAGAAACAATAGTTAGGCCCTTTCATCATAGCTCGGATAAGGAACTGCTTTTATGGGAGATTTGTTTTAGGTATGTGGAAGGTAGCAAAACTGGTATTATTGCAGAATGCTGCCATCTCCATTTGGTTCATGCAGTTTTCTTACACAGTTGATGCGTGACAGGATGGTGATGCAGCAGATAAATTGAAAGAGGAAAGGCAGTTCTTCCTCTCAGATGGATTGTTATGTGAGAAAGAGGGAAGAATTTTGAAGTAGGTTGGTGGCAGATCTTATGTGTCTTGCCTGTCTTCTTAGCAGCATGCATTGAAATTTTGGGGGCTTCTTGACAGGACTGACAGCTTTGAGAACCCAGTTTTGCAGCAGCACTTCCGGAATCTGGAGGCTTTGGCACTGGATATGATGGAACCGGAACAAGCTGAGGATTTGACAAGTGAGACCTATTGGTGGATTCAAAAGGAGGGGCGTAGAGGAGTCTTGACTTTCTTCAAAGTCAGAGATGTGTTGCTACAAAACTAAATGTGTTTTGAGGTTTTTTTTTTTTTTTAATTATGTGCAGTTCCAAGATGTAGAACTGAATTTGTCCATTCTGAAATGCCTTACTTTCCAGTGCTGTAACTTTTAAGATAAAGGAACAAATTTTTCACTTTGCCCTGCAAAATTATAATTGAATCATCTTTTTCTTTATGGTGATAAACGTTTTCTCTGAAATTCCTGTCCTGAAGAGCTCCGTTAATATTTCAGTCTGATAACTGGCAGAATTATTTAGAGAATTATTCTGCTAGGAGGAAATGATGCCACCTTGTGGCTGTGAGATTTTCTAGCTACCCAATCCTGATGGGGAAGTTAGCTTTTTTTACTTTTCTAGCTTTTTTTAACTTTTCCCGGAAAAATGTTAGAGTAACTAGTTATCTTTTGTGAAGTGATACCTTAAAAAATAACCTAGGTTCCTGTTCTAGATATCATGCAAATGCATGACAGAAACAAGCTGCCCTGCCTCAAATTACTTGCAACCTGAGCTAGTGAACTGGCATATTTTAAATGTCTGATGTTAGCTCTAGTAGCAGCAAGACCAGTTATGAGATTTCCTATACCACCTTCCTCTTGTCCATGTTATTCTTTGTGTATATATTTCCTGTTCAGATGTATAAGCAAGTCCGTTACATATGAGTAATACAAATTCTTGATCTTATCAATAACTGTAAACTTCTCATTTGTGATTATCATAGCATAGTTCTTTGCATTTTGCAGCCTTACAAGACACTTGTGTGGTAATTATTACATAAGCATGATTATATCTGGTGATAACCTTATTTAGATTTTCCTATGCTCACTCCTTTTTTGAGAGGGCAAATCTTTCTCTTTTGCCAGTGCCAAAGGCTGAAGAGATGAGCCGCAGGCTGGGCAACCTGGTGGAAGAGTTTAAGCAGCTGGTTTATCCTCCTGACTACGATCCTGAGAGGAAGGCTGTAAAACGAAAACAGGGTGAGTAATGATACTGCAGGCAGACAGCCTGGAGTCCCTATTCTTTGTTTTAAGGTTTATGCTTTTTCAGTCTGTTTTATAGTTTAAAGAAGCCACTTGTGCCACAACTCTTCTTACTCATCTCCACAGCAGAGTGCGCTTATATCCAACTGTGATTCTTAGGAGTCAGAGGGTATTGTGGTATCCAGCTAGAGAATTGCTGGAATGAGAAACTGCGTAGTTGTAACCCAGAGTGACATGGGAAGTAACGTGGGCAAATCATTGTAAATTTTTTTTTTCTCACTTTGCTTTTTATGACAGAGTAGTAAAGTCCTTCATGCTTTATGTGCAAGATGAGGAAGCAGACTTGTATGTATGGACTGTTTAGCAAGTCTATAGTTGGGCATCTTTAGGACTAAATATCTAACCAATGCTCAAGTACATGCATGGTTTGGGAATCTGTGAAAGTCTTCATAAAGTGGGACTGTCGGTTAGCTGAATTCCATATTGAGTAATTGCAGTCTGCTGCCTAGGTGAGAATCCCTTCAAAGTTTCACTTGTGAATGATCTTTCCATCCGAACACAAACTTGCGTACTTGAGTTTGAGATCACTCACATCAGTGACATCAATGTAGTCAGTGACAGCTGCTTTATAAAACAGAATACAGAAACTAGATCTGTGAGTGTGTAGGTAGCCATTAAAGTATCATGTGCTAATGGCCATTAACTATGGGATGAGAACAGTTGATATCTTTACATTAAGAAACTCTTTTTTCTTTAAATCTTGATGATCCGAAATTTCTTTCAAACAGGTGATGATGATGGTCAAACTGAGAAAAAACCCAAGGCAGAAATCTCAAGAGATGAGCTGAGGAGCCATGTGCAGAAGGGCACTCTAGGCAAGCTCACGGTACCTGTTCTGAAGGATGCATGCAGGCTTTGTGGGCTGAGGAGTGGAGGGAAAAAACAGGAGCTCATGGATGCATTAACTGAGCACTTTGAGAACCACTAAGCAGCAAGAGAAATCTATTGTTCAACTTCTACCTGCTTAAAGTTTTAGTTGTCTTATGTGGAAGCTGAGTCTGTTTAATCTTGCTATAGAGGAGGAGAGGACTCAATGTTGCTCAATATAGCAGTGGAGAAACTTTTTACTCTTGGTTGTGAAAAATCTCTGCAAACTTGGGTTCTGTTCTCAGTAGCCAAAGGCAGAATTGAAATCCCTGCCAACTCAGGTCACTCACTGCAAATGAACACAGTTGTGCCTTCCTGGTTTCTTAATAAAATTTTTTTTGGACTTCTTACTTTGCAACACCGGCTATAACACCTTTTTGCCATAAAGACAGCAAAACTCATTTTAACACGAGTAAGAAAACAGAACGATCTGTGTTAATGGCACCATATTCATTCATGCAACAGGTCAAGTCTTTGTGCTAACACAGGGTATAAATGCGGTGTGTTACTGTACTGCTCTCCAAAACTGCCAATCGGTATCGCTACTTGTAATCAAAGTGGGTTCTTTTCCACCATCAGCATTATAAAGATCATCAGCAGATCATAAAGGAGAAAATCATTATTGCTAAGTGGTAGCCAATCCCTTGTACAAAAAGCCAGCACTTTGCAACAGTGTTCAGCCTGATCTTCCATTTTTAAACAGTAACTGCAAAAGCTGTTTTTTTTAAAAAAAGAAACAAAAAAGAAATAGTCATGTTCCCTGGAGGGCTGCAAGCACGTATTCCAATTAACATGACATAGAGCTTTTCCACCTCTGTAGCAAAGCTGAATCAGACTACTTAAAGGCTTCTGTACTTTAACCCGTGCTTTAAAAATAGCGAACTGTAGAGAGAACATGCATTGTTCCTTCTGGTATTTTTTTGAATCCTATTCATGTAGGCTGTATCCAGGGGTGTATATGTTTGGTTTTTAAACTCCCACTGCATGGGTCACCCCACCTGTCTTGCAGTGCAAGATGAGTAGAAACAGTATGTGGATAAACAGTCCTTCTCCTTGCTATAGAAAGCAGTGCTAATTGTTTAGCTAAATTGTAACTTTGCACTGGATGCAAACATGGAATACATAAAGCATGGTGTTTTTGTGTTCAGCATAGAGATTCCACTGTTTGGCCCCAAAACAATTAGGCAACTTCTTGTAGAATTAAGTCACATATTAAGGTAATGTCCATGCTGTAGTGAGTGCAGTGCACGCAAACGTATTGGAGCCAGCTGTGAATGCTCTCTTGGCACAGTGACCACTTTGCCAGCCCACTGCTCGCTTCCACCTGTACAACTCTTCTTGAAAGAGCAGCTAGCCCATATTGAGCACCACAGGACTGAAACTAGATAGAGAGTCTATTGTGATACTGTAATCCAAGTTGATTCAAAGTAGTCATGCTTGTCTTAGCAAGACTTGAATTGAAAGTGATAAAATTGTGAGACTATCTTGTTCTTAATTCTGTGCGTTTTCCCTCCCTAAATGCCCTTTTTCAATTCCCTCTTGGCTTGCTAACCTCCGGGTGCTGTATGTTGCAGCCTTTGGATGATTATGGCATGTTTTGTCTGAGTTATCAGAGGCTCTCCCTGTTTTTTTGGGGGGCAGGCTATTGTATTAAGCAGAATTTAACAGAGAGGATGATGGAAAGTTTCAGAGCAAAAGATTAAGACAGTTTTGCTTGCTCAAGAATCCTTTATTTCTGCTGCTCATGTGCTTTGTCTTACACACGTTGTCTAGGTATAGTCCTGCTAGGGCAAATCCTTTGCAAAGTTGTGGTTTTGAACACATCTAGCCCAACAATCAGCATCATTGTAAGGGAACAGCAGTTCTGCTAACATACATACAAAGGAAAGGACTCTGTCTTTTTAGTGACTTAAGTTCATCTCATCAATGATACTACTAATATCAGCCGTTTACAAAAATATAAAATACAAACATAAGTTGTCTTCCGTCTTTCATGAGCTGATTTCATCTGCTTAAAATGTATTTACTATAGGTAAGCAGTTGGTGCCTCTGTGGAAACATTACAGGAGAAGTTTATTTTTCCTTCTGCTACCACACCTACTGGTGTTCACTACACGGTTCTTTCCACTCCAGCTTTGCATTCTACTTTGCAAATGTGGGGAAGGCCCCCATAGAGTGCAGCTAAGTAATCCTGTAGGGAGAGACAGAAGACTGTGTAGAAGCTCCAACAATTAAAGTCCAGACTTCCTGCAACATAAGAGAGAGGTTTGGCATGACCTACTCCAATGCAGCTATTTTAGACTCTTCAGCTGGAAACAGTAACTGGATTTAGTACACAGCATGTATTTAACTAAAACTAGCTCCATAAAACCACCACTAATCCAAAATGCTAGTAGTGCTTCATGCTTTTCAGGAACAGAGGGTTCTCTATTATTCTCATGTTGCAAATTGTTTCATGTGAAAAGTGACTTGCTTTCTAGTTTCTTGGCTCTGGTTTGAAGGGTAGATCTTCAGTCATATGACTATATTACAGTAGCTTCAGTAAAAACATGAGATCTTTTTCATAAGTAGTACTGTATATCTGACGAATACCTCTTGGCCACAGCAGGCTGCTTCCTACTGTGTTGGTACTGAAATATCCTAGGAAACCCAAGCTTTGCAGCTCATTGACGCACTCCACACACAAAACCAAAGGAGCATGAACTACCCCACTGCAGTAGCTTTAGCCAATCTCTGATCAAGCAGCTAACTGAGCAAGCACTAACACTTCAATCAGAGCAAATGTCTCCCAGAGTATGACAATTATGGACATTCCTGTCTATATCTTTGTCAGCATTTTTATTTTTCTTAAAAAGTCAGTATTTAAAAACAAAAGCAAGATCAGAGATTTCACCTTGTGCGTTGCCATGAAATTTCTGCTCCCCATACACCTCTTATAGAAGTCCCTTGTCTGGTTTCAAGAAGAAAAAAAAGGTTGTGCTGTGTGTAGTGGCTTGATCTTGGCTCCATCCGCTGCTACACAGTAGCCACTGTCTGCCTTATACGTGGGCTACGCTGCTTCATCACTTTAAAGCAACACCTCCAGCAGTCTAAATGCACAAGTTGTGCTGGGGATCTACATTCGTTAGTTAAACACTCGGCAGAAAACTGCAGCACAAAGGAAGCTAACGGGTACATTAAAGCCCTGAGCAGGCAGACATTGAGATAAAGCGTTTTTTTTTTTTTCCTCCCCTCCCCCCCCCTTTAAACATCAAACAGGGAATACAGCTGTACAATCACTTTTTAAGAAGTAATACAATGACGACTGTGTTGGAGTGGAAGAATAGGAAAAAAAGGGGGAGAAGAGGCAGAAACACTTTCAGAATTAAGTCACTATTAAACAAATAAAAAAAAAAGGTGTTTTGAAATGAAACATTGATATCAAAACTATTACCTCATCAACTACAGCTAAACATTATTTCCCCCAACTCCAGCTTGTCCTATTCCACACAAACTTAAGCTCATGGGCATTTAGACCAAAAGTCTTTCTATAGCTTGCTGGACAGACTGGATCTGAGGCTTTAGCTGTGATCCCTCCTTGATGGTGATCGAACAGGCAATGACAGGCCGAGAGACACCACATGCCCGGCCCAGGGCCTGCTTGGAGCGCACAAAGACATAGGGCACGTTCTTGTCCTCGCAGAGAAGTGGAAGGTGTAGGATGATCTCCAAGGGCTCAGCATCTGCAGCCATCACAATGAATTCTGCTATTCCTCGGTTCAGTGTTTTGGTGGCTGCAAAAGAAACTTAAGATTAAGTCTAGGGCTTTCTATAAAGCACATTAATGAAAAGCAAGATTAATAGATGTTGAAATTTGCATGAGCAAGCGGGAAATCCAGTGGTAGCATGAGGACAGCTCAAGGAAAATGGCAGCTCCAGGGCCATGAAAGAAGTCCAGACTAAACAGAGCGGCAGTCAGCAGCGCAGAGATGAAAGCTGACCTTCAAAACAGTCAGCAGGTCCAGGGAAGGGATCATTCCCCATGCGCAGCACTCCGAGCTGCATGTGGAATACTGGGTTCAGCCTTGCCCTCAAGTGTAGGGGGGAGATCAACAAGCAGAGCGAGTCCAGCACAGGACAGCTAAAATGGTCGGGGCACACAACGGACAAGGAGATACTGAGGAATCTGGGTTTGTTTAGCCTAGAGAAGAGAAGGCCAAGGTGTGGAGGGATGTCATTGCCATCTTCTACTACCTAAAGGGCATAGAGCCAGACTATCCTCATGGGTGCAAAGTGAAAGGACAAGTTGCAGTCTGTGACTGTTGCCTCATGGAAATTCTGATGGGATATAAGGAAAAAAATTCCACTGTTGAGAGTAATACAGGACAGAACCCCCTAGGACAGGGGCCCAGAGAGATTGTGGAGTCTTCATCCTTAGAGATTTTTTAAAAACTTGACTAGACAAGGCTCTGAGCAACCTGATCCAGCTTTAAAGAAAGCCTTCTCTGGACAGATTGCATCAGAGACCTTCACAGGTCCTTTCAAACCCAAATTATTTTATAATTCTAAACTAACTAGACATCGGGTAATCCCAGTGTCTCACCACTAAAGTATACATGAACACAGTACACCAGGAGTACAGTTTGAGCATCCTCCAGAACTGTATATAAAGGTTGAAAATGTTACCGTTGAATTCTGTCCCTGACTATTCCCTAAGCAGGCAAAGGGGAGAAGGAAAGCAAGGCATATTTGCATTAGCCAAGATCTATGTAAAATTAGTGGCCCACACCTGGAGAGAAAAGACAAACCTCCAGCCACAGCTTCTCAAAGCTCTTTTGATAATTCAAGCAACTCTAGCATACTTCGTAACAGGCAGGTCTCACCTTCATTGGCTCCCTTACGTAGCTGCTTGTAGTTGCAGGATTGCTGCACAAGATCCAGTAGTGTTTTGGTGAGCTGTGCATCAGCCAGTGGGTAAGCTTTGGGATTCACTTCTGCCTCGCTCTAGAGAAAAAGAGACGAGTATTACACAAGGAGCAAAGGAGGCTTTGTTCTGAACAACGCTACATAGGCCTTAAGTCTATCACACTTATCAACTGCTGGGGTCAACTCAGCTTACTATTCTCATCTCCTCAGCACGTACACCAAAAATCCCATTGCATTTCATTTCTCATGTTCAAACGAAACGGCACCTCTGCCCCCACTGCTGGGCCACATAAAGCTGGACAATTTCAATCCTGTAATCTAGCAGCAGTGACCCAGGAGCAGTCTTCAAGCATGTGCTACCCCAGATACTATATAAGTGAAGTGTTTCAGAGCAAGTTGCCACCAGCAACAATTTAACAAGTTTAGACCTTAATTTTAAAGAAAGCTTGAGAAGAGTAAGGTATCGGATTTACTTCTGCAAATTACAAACAGCTTCTAGATTTTAACATCAACAGCATATTGGAATGGTAATAACAGGCATTAATAACTAGTACTGGCGGAACTGGAATTGTTTTCAATCGCATTCAAAAGCTGACCACTTAAACACGATTAGTGTCTAGAAGGGAGTGCTCCAGCGTCCCGCGGCTGCGATCTCCTGCCGCCAGCCCTAACGGGGAGCTAGGGCACTGCCCCCAAGCTGCTCTTCCGCACGGGGAGCACATGCTTCTGCTTCCGCGGAGCCAGCAGAGCCGGGGACAGGGCGGGCGCCGGGTCTCCCG